TCTTCTGGTTTCATGCTTTTGATCCTTTGACGAAATTCATATAAATGTTTTACTGTGTTTGATAACATGTCTTTAAATTTCTTGAGTTCCAAACATATGAACTTTGCTAATTTGTGTATTTCTCCATACTTGCTGTTGACTATCAGCTTTATTGCTTCGCCTTCTTTGTGTATCTTCGGTAATCTTTAGGCTGTTGTTGATCGTGTATACTTTCTTACTGAAGATACACAAAGGAGGCAAACCACAAATACTTCATTACACATTCCAGCAGTCTTCATTTCACGGCAATTCTGTTTCCGGCGAAACCATTTCACGAATGTCTTCCAGTCAAATTTTCCTTCGATATATATATTCATTTCACAATATATTACTAGGCAATTCTTCGAAACCCAGTCATAGGAATTCGGCACTGGTTAGTAGATCGGAGCCAAATTGACATATAATCCACTCGAGATGCAGCGGGAGACCAGAGCTAGACCTTCACAGTTTGCTCAGAAATGACCCTATGAGACAATGTCTAATATCTCCAAGCCTAGGAATCAGAGCCTAGGCCACCCGCTCGGTCGTCGGGTCATCAAAAGTCTATTACAAGCCATGGGAAATTGTTCCTTGAGTAAAATATATACTGTGATTGGAACCTACTGGAATCAGTCAACCAATAAAATAAGGAAAAAATCTCTGAGGCCATGAGGGCTATTCGGATAAGAAGCCTGATTTGGATCGGCAATTCTAGCAAATCTGGATGGAGGGAGGACAATTTAAACAAACAGGTTTGATAACGCCTGACTAAACTCGCCAAAAGGAATCGAATATAAACAAGTCAGGCTGGTATTGGGAGGGATTGTGGTAGGAAGGTAGGGAGTAGGTAAATGAACCAGGACAGAAGGAATGATAGCACAACCTTTCAGCAAAAAGCTTGTCAAGAAATTGACTTCCTTTGTCTCTTGGACGAGTTGCAACTTAGTGTTAAGACTGGCATGACTCATTGAAGATGCCGGCTAAACATCTTGGAATTTACCAACTCACTTATACAATAGTGGATTATCAAATTTATCATAGCAGAGGATTTCGGACAATGGGCATCCGACTAGGTCGCTTTGACGACCCGTCCTGTAACCAAAATCGGCCACAATATCTTGGTCTTTATACCCACATAATACAATTGGTTTGTGCTACACACAATTGATCCTTTTTTGATGACAATTGATGATAGGATTCAGTATTAAGTATTTAATTAAAATGTCGATGCATATTAATTAGACTCCACATAAATTAGAAAAATTAATTTACTGTCTAGATGGGACCTTACGTAGCTAGAAGTGGGTTGACCTCGTTGTCGCAACTTGGTCTTGTGCTCAGGGAGACTATGTAGAACGCACCGAG